AACCCATCCTTTCTATGACGGGGTGAGTACAGCATGAGCTAGCCCAATGGCTAGCCAAGTTGCTTAAACTGGTTTCTGACCATTTCTCAACTTTCTGTATTCCTGACTCATTACACATTCTCAGAATTTATTAGAAATTCTTCCATAAATTCTAGTGATAAAAATTTGTTTCCTTTGATATTATGAGTCTTTATACAAATGTGCCCTACAAGAAACTGTACAGATTTGTGCAGATGCTCTCTATAGAGGTTGCTTAGGTCCTGTTTCCATTCCTGAAACCATATTTTTCAAATTCATTCAGAAGGGATAGAATTCAGTTTTGAAGATACTAAGTGTGCCCAGATTGACAGGGTTTCTATAGGTAGTCCTCTGGGTCCTTAATTTTTGTTGGATAATTTGAGAGCCTATTGTTTAAGAAATGTCAGAAACCTTATATTTATTTACGTTATGTTGATGACACTTTTTCCATGTTTGATAATATAAACGAGGCAACTTTTTTCCACCAGCATTTAAATTCTTTACACCCAACGCTAGCATTCATGATGGAGGAAAATCATTCTCTTCTCTTTTTGGATATTTTGGTTAAATGAAAAGATGGAAAATTTATTACTAGTGTTTTCCGTAAACCAACATTTACTGGTTTATACACGAGTTGGAATTCCTTTGTCCCATATTCCAAAAAAGTCAACTTATTTACTACATTGGTCCATTGTGCCTTAATGATTTGTTCCCCTTGCACCCTTCAGCAAGAGTTGGACAGGATTCATTTTATTCTTATTAATAATGGTTATCCTACCAACATCATTAAATGTGCAATGGAATGTAAGATTGAAAACTTAAAATTGCCTTGGCTTGGTAAGAAATGTCAAACACTAATTGATAGAGTTTCTAATTCTGTTTCCTCCACTTTCTTTTCAGCCAAGCTACGTGTTGTTTTTGGGACTTGTTCTGTGTTTCCTTTTTTTGTCAAGGATCAGTTGTCCTATCTTAGTAAAAATTCTTCATTTACAAATTTAAATGTCAGCATGAAGTTGAATATACAGGACGAACTAGCCTTAGGTTGAAAACGCGGCTAGATCAGCGCATGTACGTGTGCATTTATGAGATTAAATTTAAATAATCGCACTCATGTTTAGCAATCAGTACACGATTCTGTGAGATTATTAGTGTAGACAATCATTCTGCATGACTTAATTTTTTGGATGGTAGAAATTCCATTTTATAATTATAGTTCAATAAGATGGATAATAATGGATGATGGTCTGTCTGTAGTATGAATTCTCTACCATATATGAACTTGTGAAACTTTTTCATAGCAAATATGATTACCAATGCTTCCTTTTCAATCTGGCTGTAGCTTTTTTCAGCTGCAATCAATGATCATGAAGCATGAGCTATTGGTTTAGTTGTTCTGTCCTCATATTTGTGTAGTATCACTGCTCTGATACCTGAATCACTTGCATCTGATACAACCACAATCTTTAATTAGCAAACTCTAAAAATCCTAAAAATGCTTGTAACTTTGTTACATTTCTTGGAGCAGGCATGTCTTTTATTGCGTTTGCCCTTGAAGAATCAGGTTCATCTACCATTTCTTCGATAATTTGTCCTAAATTTGTCTGGACATAAGCATTTCACATTTTCCTTCACTGATCTTGAAACCATATTCTTTGATTCTCTCGAATACTTTTTACATCTTCCATATGTTGCTTTTGGGTTTTGCTTTTAATAAGTATGTCATCCAAATATGCTTGAGAACAATCCAAATCGGCAAGCATGGTATCTATTATCTGTTGGAATATGCTTGGTGTTACCTTTATACTGAAAGGAAATCAGTTGAATTTGTATAATCCTCTATGAGTGATAATTATTAATAGTTTTGAGCACTCTTACGAGTACTTGCAGGTAAGCGTCTGACAGGTCCAATTTAGAAAAAAAATTTACCACCATTCAATTTGGCAAAAACTTCCTCTGGACTTAGTAACGAGTAGTTATATTGTTTTAAACTTTCATTTAACCCTGTTGAGAAATCAGTACATACACAGATTTTATTTTTTTTTTTTTTAACTTAGACTGTTGGTGATGCCTATTCGGAATAGTCTATTTCTGGTATCACTACTAATTTTTCTAGTCTCCAATTCATTATTAATTGGATCTAAGGCCACAAAAGGCACACTGCTTTTTGGCTTAAATGTCACTGTTACATTGTTTTTAACTCAAACTTAGCTTTTGCTTTCATGCATGTCCCTAGACCTAAGAAAACTTCTGAAAAACTCTTTTTCAATTCATTTTTTTCAGTTGCTGTATTAGTACCGGTTGTAACAACATTTATCTTGTTGCAAAGAGAATTAACTGGAAGGTCCCAAAGATCAAATAATGCAATCCAGTCTGTTCCAAATAAATTAGCAGTATTCTTTAATACAAACACCACCACTTTTTTGTTTTTTCCAACAAAAGAAATGTTACAGCTGAATTCACCCAAAAAGTTCAATCTCTTTTTTGAGACTCCATGAGCAATTTTATCAGAAGTCAATAAACTGGGTTTACCCATATTTCTCCATGTCTGTTCATTTATGATAGTGATATCAGATCCTGTATCCAGTTGCAATTTTATTTTTACATCATTAATTTGCACAAAAACAAATTTCCTCTTTTGAGATACCTTGTTATTTTCTCTTTTAGGCTTCTTATTGTTACTCCATGTATTTATCATGTTCACATACATTTTATTTTTCCTCCATTTTTTGTATCTGCAACATGTACTTTTGTGTCCTAATTTCCCACATTGATAACATTTTTTGTTCTTGAAGAAACAATCACTTTTAAAATGCTTACTTTCACAACCATGACAAGTATTAGTTATTGAGGAGGGGAGTTATTGTCTTTTTTCCTGTTCTGTTAGGAGTTGAAAAACGTTTGTAGTCTTTTCTCTTAGATGGTTGGACACTATGTACTTGTGAATTGTCTTTTTCCTCAATCCTTGCAGTATCAAGTTTCAAATTGACAATACATTGACATTCTTCCATTATTTTCTTGAGAGTTAATTTGGAATCCATTTCTAATTCAACAAGTATCCTGGATCTTATCTCTGTATCCTTATTAGAAGTTAAACCCTGTATGAATATCAGGCATTTAAATAAATTAGGAGTTAATTCATTTAACTTGAACTTCTTACATTCTCGATTCACGACTCCTGCATAAGTGACAAAATCTTCATCGTTGGACTTTGCCATCATGTATTAAATAATGAACTCCAATCACCAAAACTGTTTGATAGAATTAGAACAGTCTCATCAAAATTTATCTCTCCTGGTTTTTTCAGCAAAATATAATTCACATATTTTTCATGTTCACCAGGAGACAATTTCCTTAATAATAATAAATGAACTTTCTTTTCATCATTCCAATACGAACAATCCCTTTTGAAGATCCTTTTCTATATTAAGCTCGAAAAGTTATCTCTTAATCTTGATTGTACACAAATTCACTGAATTAGCAACAGTATCTGGAGTGAATGAATCTGAAGGTTTTCCTTCCATCGTTTTGGTAAACATCTCAAAAAACTTCTGTTGTTGTAGTTGTAATTGCTGTTCAGTCTGTTGTCTTTGTTACTGCAAATGCTGTTCTTATTGTAATTTTTGTTGCTGCAACTGTTGTTATTGTTGTTGCTTCTGTAGTGGCACCATTTGAACCATGATAGCTTTTAGTTCTTCCATTCTGCTGAACGAATCTTTGTGTAAGTTGAAGGAATCCTTGTCGCCACTTTTATGATGTCAATGAACACTTGTTGCCACTTTTGTGATGCCAACTAATACTCGTCACTTTTGTAAAGCTTGTTGTAGTAGAGACTTTGTAATCACTGATACAACTATAGTATATCGTTGAACAATATTGGTGTCAGATGCCTTCAAATAACAATGGCACTAATAGTATTTGCTCAATAATACTCGCTCAGACAGTAATCCGTATAGTGATCTGAATAGAGGAATAGTACAGTAAATAGTGTAGAGAATAGCAGCCTGTATAGTAATAGAGGATAGACTAGAAATGCAATCAATTAGATGTTATGCTATCTTCCATATATACGTTTCCTCTATGGTCACATGGTCTACTTAATTCAATAATGGGATTACCTGTGTTTGCTCACTTGCGATCTATGTTCAAACTCAAGTGTCGACAGTGACACGTTGTTCTTATATAACACTATATTTATGGGTTAAAGTGCTCAATATCAGGGACAGAGAATATGTAAATATAAAAGTGGACATTGGACACCAGGCCTGATGATTGCATTTAGCATTAAACAGACTGTCGCCTCTGGGTGTTGAGTTCAGTGTCCACTTTTATATTTATATAACTGTTAACTATATATATATATATATATATATATATATATATAAAAGAGTAAGAACAGATGGAGTAAAAACCCACAGTTCATAGCATTTAATTTTTAAAAAAGTGCTCAATACAAAGTGGAGCAAAATATTATTATAATATTTTTTATTATACTAAATTACGATAAAATCATTTTACATCGCTACACAAAAAGATGGTACCTCTTCAGGTGATGGTAGATAACTAATGATAACTAAAAAAAAATCATTTTTATCATTAGTTATCTACTATCGCCTGAAAAGGTATCATCTTAGTATTGAAACATGAAAGTTTTGTGTAGCGATGTAAAATGTTTTTACTGTAATTTATTATAATATATATAACTTAACAAGTTAGAAAATTAAATGTTAAAATATAGAAAAAGCTGTTTCTACACTGATCTGATATATGGATTTCAGTTATTCAAACTGATATTTTGAAGATCAGAAAAAAATTTTGCTAAATTTTCTTATAAAAGTATGTATGAATTCATTGGTAATTAAATACATACCTGGATTTTTAGTGAAAAACCCAGATTCACACATTTTGTAGAGATATCTATTAAGAAATGAGTATGTACTTTTAATGTTTCAACCAATACAGAAAAGATGAAGTAAGTGACTGACCATTTTCTTTATAGCCCATACCAAGGATGACTTCTGGAGCACGGTAATATCTTGTTACAACATATGGTGTCATCATAAAACCAGTCCCTGCAGTCCTTGCTAATCCAAAATCTAAAATTTTTAGTGTACAATCAGCTTTTACCACAATGTTGCTGGGTTTCAAATCCTGCAAAAACAAGGATATATTTAGAGTATAACAAATGAATTGAAAGCTGTTAAATCATAATTCACACAGGAACTTAGTAAGACTCACCAAAATCCATAATTTGATTCTCAAAAATATGTTAAAATAATATTGTGTCTTTTGTAACTTTTGTAATAAAAATAGATTTTATGGAATTGAGTAATGAGTGAAGTAGACCTTATCAATACATTTAGCTTTGGGCAAGTTTTCGTTATTAATGAATTAATGTTTGATTTAAATTCTTGAAAGAAAATAAAAACTATGCGATATGGTTAAACAAAATTGATTATATTTTTCTGGAATAACAATCACATTCATTTTTGGGTTGGTGATACTATGAGACTTAGTTGATGAGGATTTATTAGTAATCAAATGATCTTTATTGTTTATGTATACAATAGAGAATTGAGTATTCTTGTAATCACTAAAATATACTTAGGGTTATGAAAAGAACAGATGATTTGGTTGCAAATAATTCTATATTAGTATTGTTATTAAAAAAAAGAAAAATGACAAATTCAGTTTGGTTAAGTATTTTAGCTATCATTCCTATTCTTGTCATAACAGCAGTAATAGGATTCAAGGGTTCACAATGGTTGGCACAAACCATTTACTAAAACTAAAAAAGTTAGCAGAACTAATTCTTAAACTCCATTAGCCTTTACATCCATTGACAAATAATTTAGGAATGAGGAAAAGAGGAGAGAATAGATCCCTAATTTCATAGACAAAACATTCAGGATGTGAAAGAAGAGAGAGATATGGTTCCTAATATCATAGACAAGACATTCAGGATGTAAAAGGAGTGAGAGAGAGAGAGAGAGATGGTTCCTAATATCATAGAAAAAACATTTAAGATTTAAAAGTAAAGAGAACCTGTTCCTAAAAAATATGTATCTCAGCACTATATAACATCTATATATTTTAAAATGGAATTTTAACATATATATTTTCTTCTTGAGAAAATCTATACAAAAATAAAAGTGAATATTTTAGCATACAAAAAGCTTAGTAAAATTGGAAGACTCAAGTAAGGTCAGAAGACAAACATGAAAGAAAGATAAATTTCTAATTCTAATATAAATTTAAGATGTTAAAAAAAAAAAAAGAAGATTGTTTCCACTTTCGATAAATGTATTTTTTTTATTTATCATTGCGTCATATTCTAAATAATGCTTAATAGAAACAAAACAATCAAAATAAATTTGGAAGCTAAGCAAAAGATCACCTAAAAAGGAGGGTTAGATTTTTGCATTAGTTTTTCTTAACTTAGTTTTTAAATGATTTAAATTTAACACAGACTTTTAGAATAACTTTTTGTGGGACTGTATTTAAAGTATTCTTCATAAAAGAAATAATTGAGTTTATATGTATCACCGATAAATACAAGAATGTGTTTTTAGGTATGATCAGGTGTTCAGAGTAGAAGAAATGGGAATAAAACGTTTAAATGGAAATTCCTCATGTATTTATACTTTATTGACTGGTGAATCGACTGTGTGTGTGTGTGTGCGCGCAATGTCACCTGTGTATACATACATGAACACCAAGAATGTCCCCTTTACCTTCTACTCAATAAACAGTAGTGAGTGTGCAACAAATTTGGAAATAAACAACAGTCCCTATATATTTAAAAACATTTTTTAAGAGATAATTACTGAATGATATGGATGTTCACCCTGGCATTTGAAATTAATGCAAATGTATTTATCAAAAAAGAAGATTCATTTTAATTTATCAACTAAGAAGAATTGTTTTGAAAACCCTTTACTGACCTCCATTATTAAATGCAGCTTTACATTCTCTTGACTTAGTGAAACTAAATGTCTCACTTTAAGCAAAAATGATAGCAATTATTGTTCTCTTGACCATTACTATTTTAATGACTATTATGTTACTAATAATCTAAATACTGCAATTAAAACAAAGAAATCATTAATTGAAAATTAGCAGAAGATTTACATTGGCTGTTTTTGTCCACTGATTGGAATGAGAGAGAGAGTGCAGAGCAGAAAATAGAAGGGAATAAAAATAAATGGGGAAAATATAGGGAGGGAGGGAGGGAGAGAGGAGGTAGCAATGCAGGTTTAGCAGCAATGCTGCAGCAGGGAAATCAATCAGGTATGGGCTCTTATCCCATGACAGATATCCACTGACAGTAAGTCTGGAATAGGACCAAGTATGTGCAAGAAGCAGCAAAGAGCAGCACTGTAGCAGTAGCACCAAACTACCACCGAAGCTAATATCTATTAAGTGCTGATGGTAAGTGCAGTGAAGAGACAAATTACAGATAACAATTCAATATTAAAAATTATTTAAAAAAAAAAACAAAAAACAAAAAAAAACTGTTTTAACTGTCTGTACAAATACGTTTTAATTGAGATTAATATTTTTTATTCTATTTAAATGTTTTTATGTTTTACCATTAGTGCCAAAGACTATTTTACTGTTTCTGCTTATTTTTCATATTTCATTATTTTTAGAAATCACAGGAAATGAATAAATGCTGGTTTAGCAAGAGAAAAAAAAGATGATATTGAGTTTGAGTCAAACAGTCATTGATGGTGGGTCATTCATTTGTCTGTAACTATTTTCAACTCAATATGAGCAAAGCTGTATGAAGTAAGAAGAATACTACAAAATGTGATAAAAAAAAAAAAAGAAAAACTTATTTTCTGTAAGAAACATTTATTTTAAAATAATGTACAAGTTTATTTCTTAATTCACCACATTTAATTATTGTAATAATAATGTATACTACTACTACTATATTAGTAAATAATTAGAACAATCATTTACAGACAAAGTGAAAAAGAAGTATAAATTAACATATTTCAAAATAAGTAATAATGTTTTTGTGGACATAATTGATGAAAGCTATATAAAATGTGGTGCTGAAAATTATTGTCCTGACCGACTTCCTAAAATCAGTATTTTTATGTTTGGCCATTGGGAAGTGGGCCTGATTGAGAACTTTTCAGCCATCTCCTTGTAAGAACCCCTCACCCCAGGCCACAAAGTATAGTGTATAAGGTGTTGGTGTCTCCTAAGATAAAAAAAAGACAGCTCAAGTGTTTCAACTTTCATATTTTTTTAAGCAGAGGTGTGAATATATAATGAATGATGACATTAGAACTTTTAATATCTTTTAAATTTGAGTTATAATCACTTTTTTAAAATTTGTTTTTAATCAATGCTGAAATACAAGCAGTATCAGCACCATTTAGTAATAAGCTTTAACCAATATAATTATAGTAGCTGTAATAGTTTTAATAGTGTTAGCAATAATGAACATTAGCCTAGGAGAATGAAATACAAAATATGCAACAAATGAGAGACTGGTGCAAAAACAAGAATTTTATGAGCATCAGATGCAGGGTGATGTAAAGCTGCTGCTGCTACAATGATAATTTCTACACTGACCTTGCTCAGCTAGTAAAAATGTTGTTTCTATAACCAACTCTGTTGAAAAGTATGAGATTCAGGTTTCATCCCTGAAATAAGATCTTTTTAGAGGAAACATTTCACACCAATACTAGTGGGTTCAAGATTTTCCTTTCTTTAAAAAAAAAAAAAAAAAAGAAAAAAAAAAGTATTGTTTGATATACTGCTTCAAGGTAGTACACTAGTTTTAGTCATTTAGGCTAATATAACTAGTATAGATTGAAACCAATCAGTAAAACTATGCTTCTTTCATAGACAATACTCAAAAGTAATTTTATTAATGAAGCTGAAAAACCTATCTGATTGGAGTAAATATCGGTTTTTATTACTGCTACTTCTGCTACTGCTACGATTCCTGCTACAAACCCTGATCTTCCAGTAGGGAAGCAACAATGCTGCACTGTGTATGCTAAGTTATTGTGTTATGACTGATGACTGGAAGATGATATGAAGAGGCGACACAGAAATTATATATAAAAAAAACAATAATTTAATTTCAAATTGAGTGATTCTAAAAACAGTTGTAGAAAAAATATCTCAATAACAGATTGGCTTGGTGGCCATCAATTTCACTTGTGTTTGGACAGATTTCAATTTTTGCCACTTAATAGATTCTATTGCCTGTTAACAATACAGAGGCCTATTCCAATTCAATGATTTGTAAAGATGAGTGATAGCTAGAGTACACAATCACTTTAATATGACACTATCATTCAGAGTTTGTGTTTTTGCTATTATCACTTAAGATTTGAAGTTAACAATGATGATGATTTATTCAGAAAATTCTTAAAGTGACTAGATGCAGGCTGTTATATTCCATTTTTATTCACCACCACAACTCTTTCTTTATTCACATAAATAAGCATATGAATGAACTTTGGTTTATGTCTGATTGGCTATCAGTAATTGTCAATTACAACAAACAACAGATATTCATTTCAATCAGGGCTGGATGAGAAGCATGAAAGGAAGAAAGACATATTAATGTACCTAAACAAAATTATTCTAATTTTTGTTGTAAGACATCAGCTATATTCACAAAATTAAATATTGATAATAATAGAGGACACTACAGAGAATATGGCTTACAAAAGGTTAAGGTATGTTAAGCGACAGAAGTTATAGATAAAATGTCATAACAGCATCTTGAGCAGATAAATGACTTGTCTATAAATAACTCACTGACCAACTATGACCTGAAAGATTTTTGAAAAATTCTTTTGTTCAAATTTCTTCAACTGTATTGATTAAACATGTAGAATTATAAAAAAAAAAAAAGAAGCAACACACAAATACACTATTAATATTGATTTTAGTATACAAGTCCTTGTGTACTAAAGGAGAGATTACTTTACAGATAATGTGTTTATTTTCAATGTAAATAGTAACATATTTGTTTATGAGTCTGAATGAAGTAAAAAAATTTATACATAAAGTGTAACTAATGACCAAAGAAATTATGGGGAAAAATTAAATTTGAAAATAATTACTACAGAATGAAGTGTTTATAATTTCATCTGAAAAATAGGAAAAAATCT